TGTTCATGTCTCCGGCCCATTCCACACGAGACTTAAACTGCGGCAGCGAGCCCGGAAACGGCTTCCCACCGGAGTAATAGAAGAACTGCAGAAGAGAGCATACGTGTGGATCACATGCAGACGGTATAACACACGAACATCAGCGCAGTGCAGACGAAGGACTCTTACTGAAGTGAACGCTCCGGCTTCTCCCTCCGGAAGGAAAGACCACGTCACTGACGCAGAGCTACTGATCACCTCTCTAGACTTGAAGCTGCAGGACAGAGTGGCTGTGGTCCCGTTCTCAGCAAACAGCTCGGCTGGAGTGTACACGTCTATCGCCGACACGCCTGAAACACACAGAATAAGCATCATCTCCATCAATGCACAAAACACTGGTTATATAGAATGGCACTGAATGAGTAAAACAGCATGGTTTCTTCAATCAGTACCGTAGTATTACCATGGTACTCCTACTTTAGTTAGTTTTGTCCCTTTAAAAACACACATAAAGGCCACTGTGTAAAACACAGAATGCAGTAGATGTTATTTAAGGATTTGCACCATCTGCTCATTAAAATACAAGATAATAATTTAATAATTAATTCAGATGCTTATTTGAGTCTTTATTGTTGGTCTAAAGGCTGATCATTCAGGTTTGATTAAATTTATTATTAAGCATTAACAATAAGAGGAGTGCATGATTAAATACATAAAAGAAAACATAAACCCTTTGCACACGTTGTTAATTGATCAGCAGTTGTTTTCGTGAGTAAATGTGATATAATGTAATAATGAGGGAGGCTAATGTGCTAACAGAACAATACGAGCTAAACTTCCTGACCCGAGAAACACATTAAACACTCGCACACTGTGTTTATTTACATCGCCTGCTTCAGAACATGACACTGACACAACACAAGAGCGCTTCTTTATAGTTTCAGCTCATGTGCTATTATTATGAAACCAGCAGATACATTATAACGTGAACTGAAGCTAGCAGGCTAGCACGCAGCTCCGCAGACGCTCACAGATCAGATCAAGACGCCTCACAGAAAGACAAATAACACTTACCAGCGAAAACAAACACCGCAGAGACACACAATAATACATGACTGCGTGTGAAA